CCCTCGCGGCGCGGCCAGGGGCCCCCGGGACCCGCGGGCGGGCGCGCGCTTCCGTGCGTGACGTCGGCGTCATGCCCAGACCGTTTGCAGAAATTAGTTTAAAAAGTAAAAGCTGATGCGCGGGACTTGACTTTGTCCAGAGGACTGTCTGGAGGGTCAGGCTGAGCGGACTTGCTTCGCGGGACAGAGCCCGCAGGCGTAGGAAGGAGGTGAGGAGGAGGCAGCTCTTGTCCTTTGCCTGGTGAGGGCGACGGAGGACCTAGGGCGGTGATCAGAGGCTTGGGGGAAGGAGATGACTAACGAGCGTTTGCTTACGCGGTTTGTTTCTACTGATCAGTTAGTTCACCTAATCATTTTCAAGTCAAAATGGGGAATTTGGAATTTTTGTACAAGTTAAAATAAAGGAGCACCGTCCAAGCGTAATGGGAAGGCACTTCTTCGCACTACTAATTCTGTAGACCAAAATGTTGTGTGTATTGGGGGCGGAGGACGACGTTGTAATCGCAGCTGTTTACCAGGATTAAGCAGTTGGTTAAATTCAACATCATGAGCTGTTTGCTTTTGCGTCCACAAAGAGAGTTCAGTAGGAGTGTATTTTCTGCTAAAAAAGAAAGTCTTCCGGGCAAATGAGACAAGGACACCTGTCGGTTTGGCTGACTGGAGAGAAAGGCTTATAAATTTGAGATGTGTAAATCATTTCAGATATGCAAAATAATTTTTTAAAAATTGGTCTTCATCTCAGATGCTAACAGAGAACCGAAATCCCCAGAAATTTGTTGAGCAATAGGAAGATATTCAGTTGTTTATGCTGAACACTTCAAACAATAACTCAGTTCATGCAAATGAGGTGACCTTGGGTATCACCCTATATCTCCTTGGGATGGAAATGGTTAATCAGATAGACCAAACATATGTTTGGATTTGCATCAGCTGTTCTCCGGGTTATGTCAGAATTGAATTGTGAGACACAGTTGGTGTTGGAGAATTGGTTGGTGTTCTGCAAACCACACATTTGGTATCAGAAGTGATGTCAGAAAAAGACACAAAAGCCAAGCGTGGTGGTGCATAACCTGTAATCACAGCACTTGGGAGGCAGAGGCAGGAGGATTGCTGTGAGTTTGCAGCCTGCCTGGACTACAAAGTGAGTTCAAGGGCTGGGGATTTAACTCAGTGGCAAAAGCGCCTGCCTGGCAAGCGCAAGGTCGTGAGTTCGGTTCCCGGTACCGGAGAAAAACCAAAAAAACCCCCAAAAAACAAAAAAAACAAAGTGAGTTCAAGGCCAGCCTGAACTGCATAGTGAAACTCTGTCTCAAAAAAAAAAAAAAAAAAAAAAGGAAAGAAAGATAACCATTAATTGACTCTGGCTGCGTGTATGGTTACTGGTGGTCAGACAGAGCCTATATGAAGGAGAGTTCACATTGAGAGAAGAGAGAAGTAAAGTAGGTGTGTGGAGGTCCCAGAATTAAATTTCCTGACTGCTCTTTTCCTCACTACTAGTTTAAATTCCCATCAGCAGTGTAGAAGGGCTTTTTTTTACTTAGGACATCTCTGGTATTTGGTGTTTTTTGAGTGCTTGTTAATAGCTATTTTCTCAAGTAAGATGGAATCTGTGTTGTTTTGATTTGCATTTCTCTAATATCCAAAGATGCTGAACTTTTTCTCACAAATGTATTGGCCATTTGTACTTCTTTTGAGAGTTAAGACTATTTATATTGAGTATTTTTATTGAAAGGTACTTACATTCTTGTCATTATTTTTCCACAGTTTGATTTTTTATTTTACTTTGTTATAGCTTGTATTTAGATGTCTCCTCAAAGCCTCTTATGCTCATAGGTGGGGCTTTTTGGAGTTTGCTAGATCTAGTGTGTGTTACTAGGATTAAGGGCATGTGGTATTAAATTAGTGCAGTGATTGGAATTAGCATAGTTTTGTATGTGACTGAATGGATTTAACAAAGATAAGAGCCACACTCTGGGTGTGGGTTGCACCACCCAAAAGGTTTATAGCTTGGATGGGATAGAAGGGAAAGGCAGGCTTGTTGCTGCTTGTTGCCTTCAGCCTATCATGCCATGAACCGTTTCTCTGTTCTTCCCCATGCCACCCTGCCTTGGAACCACCTGATTATGGATTTATAGAGGATTGAAACCTCTATAAATTGTGAACTGAAATACATTTTTCCTCCTTTAACTTGTGGGTGTCAAGTATTTTGTCTCAAATGAAGAAAGTAAGATACACTTTTTATTTAACTACTCACCCCATGAAATGTATTCTTTTCTGTAGGCTCTTGGGTAATGTTGGGATCTATTTGTCACCGTTTAGGATTCTTTTGAGTATTTGCAGCAATGGTGGTTTAGTGGTTATGAGTTTCTTATTTTATCTTTGCTATGGATTTATCACAGATGATCTTTATTTCTTAATTTTGAGGGATAATTTTGCAGGGTAGGTTGGGAATTTTTTTTGTGGCCTGAAATTCTTTACTCAAGCTGTCCTGCCCTTTAGGGTTTCTGGTTTTTTTTTTTTTTTTTTTTTTTTTTTTTTTTGGTCTTTTTGAGACAGGGTCTCACTATTCACTTCAGGCTGGCCTTGGGCTCACTTTGTAGTGTAGGCTTGTCTCGAACTTGCAAGGACCCTCCAGCCTCAGCCTACCAAGTGCTGGGATTACAGGCATGTACCACCATGCCCAGCTAGGGTTTCTGTTGAGAAATTTATTTTTTACTCTGATGGGTTTGCTTTTTTAAGTTATGTCACATTTTTCTCTAACAGCTCTTAGTATTCCCTTAGTATTCAAATTTATTCTGAATTTCTGATGTTTTCACTATGATGTGTCATAGAGAAGTCTTTCTAGTTGTATCTGTTTAGGATGATAAAATACCTCATCTATCTGTGTATCCATCTCTAGATTTGGAACATTTTCTTCAGTAATTTCATTGGCTACATTTTTTATATCTTTAGACTCCTCTCATCAACCTCCTCAAGACCAGTGATCCTTAAACTTTTGTTCTTAGTCATCTAGTACTTGGATTGTTTTTAAAATTTTGTCTTGTTGTTTATTTAATGTTGGTGAGTAAATATTCTATGGCATCAACCTTGTCTTCAAGTCCTGATCGTTTATCTTCTGAGTGATGTGGCCTACTGGCAGAACTGTCACTTGAGATTTTTCTTTCCAGGATTTCTGCCTGATTCCTTTTCATAACGTCTGTTTCTCTACAAAAGTGGTCTTTTCTCTCCTGCATTGCCTTCCTTAATTTGTTTAGCAGTTATTTGTATTTTTTTCAACTTACTGATCATTATCATCTTAGTAATTGATTCATTCTGCAGCTTTTTGTCTCTTCTTCAGTGCAGTCAGTCATTTTCCCTACATGTTTTTTGAGTATGAAAATTTATCCACCTCAGTGTGTGTGAGGTGATCATTTTGAGAGATACGAGTGTTTGGAGACATCTTGTCTCATGTATCTATTTTTTTTTTCTTAAAATGTTATAGGCTAGTTGGGATACAAAGCTCTTGCTTACAGTATTGTGGAAGTCTCTTTAGTAGTTAGACTTTTTCCTGCAATAATGTCCTTGGCTTTGGGTGTGGTTCAGTGCACAGGGACCTGCTGAACCTATTCAAAGCACGAGGATTTGTACTTAGCATTGCTTTGAGAGGAGAGAATAACTACCAATAATACTGTCTTCCAAAGAATCAGTCATATGTCAACATATAATTTTAAAAAGTCTTCAAAAAGATCCCAGCTATTTGAATAACCCAAGAAGAAAAGGATTATAGTAATGGTAGCAAAAAGCCTTGGGAATTAGATGAAAAAGAAAAGCATTTAAAAAGGAAAGAAAAGAATAGAATAAAAAAGAAACAAAAAATGAAGAGAAAAAACCAGGTTTTGATAATTTTGTACCTGGAAAGAACAGGGGAGGGTGAGGACGTTTGAGAGGATATTTGTGGGAGAGAAGAGAAAGGAGAAAGGGATAGGAATTATAAAAGGAAAGTAAGTGTCTTTTCAGAGATTGGAGAGCGTATCCACTTAGTAAACTAGGAGAAACCCAATGTTAGAAGAACCAAACAGTGAATCTTGGTGAAGGAGAACCTGCTGGTTCAACACACTATAGAATCAAAAACAGTAAGTACAGTCACAGTTGCTTATAGACACAGACCTCTTACATACACTGAGTAACAGAAGCAAAAGAAAATTTGTTTCAGTTACAGTATTTATTTACAAAAAGAAGGGAGGGATTTGAAAGGAAGAAAGGACGGTGGGAAAGGGAATTTAAACAGACAGTGAGAAAGGATATAGAGATACTGAGTCCAATTACTCTCCTAGCAACACTAATTTTGCAAGCTGTGAGAAGAAGCACTTGGTATGAGAGAACAGGATGTGACATGGTAAGATACTATAGTATTTAACCTTAATAGTTATGGATAAATGAGGTGAAAAGATAGAAAGGAAAAAAGAAAGAAGATGGAAGAGGTTAGTTGTGAAAGATAAAGAAGGTACATGGAGGAAGCTAACCATGGCAGGGAACAGGACAAGATTATCAGTGGGAGGTGAGAGGAGAGAGGGGAGGTTTATTAGTTGTTGAACTGACAAGTCAAGCAGATAACACCAAGAAGGAAACATTGATATGTGATTGTAGGGGAGAGAATGTTCATTGCCACCGCCCCAGGGAGTCTCTTTCCCTCTCTGCCCGAGACCTCACAGGTCATGGCCACTGCAAACCCCTGAGTTGTTCACTGGTTCTGGGCCCCTAGCCGGAACTGTGCCCGTTTCCTGTCTCAGTCCAAGGGCTCAATAGTCCTATCCCAGCCAGTGTCCCCTAAGTGACTTTACCTGTGGTCTTCGCCCTGCCCTGTTCTGCGGAGGGCCTCCCTGGTGAGTATCTAATTACTGGTCCTATCTCTCAGTAAGAGAAGAGCCAGGCCCTGTGGGCACTCGGTAGGGGCAGCTGGGCTGGGGACCGATGGGTAGCCATTCTGCTTGCTTCTCTCCTCAGAAGTTTGGACATTTTTCCAGGTGGCATGGTCTTCAGACCTGGGTTTTCAGCAGTGCCAGGATTTAGAAGCAACCCTGCTTTTTACTCTAAAAGCCTATTAC